TGCCACAAATAAGCTATATATTGATTATTGACCATTTGTGACATGCTATAACGAGCAAAAATTTAAAAAAACTAATAGGTAGGTTTAAAATTAATAAATACAAATGTATTCTGGCAGTGAATGAGTTAATTATGCTTTCTATTTGCAAAATTCCTCAACCTTAACACAAAATAAGAAAAAAAGTGAATTTTTAAGAAATTTGCGGGATTTCCCGGGATAAGAAAAATTTCCCGGGATATTTCCTGGGTTAAAAAAACAACCGGGATCCCGTTTCAGAAACCCTAATACATACAATAGCTGCGTTCACTAAAGTCAACAGTTGTAACTGAGCAAGTGTTTCAATTGGTAGCTGTTATGTAGTTACATCTGCCGAACGACATATGCGTCGGAACAAAAAGCAACCATCATCGGTCAGTTTCAGACAGCAATAGGTACCATAAACGAAAGATACTACTAAATGTTACATCAAAATACAAACACATTCAAAATGGCACTACTGTAGAGGACGTTCAGCAGAAAAATACTCAACAGCTCTGGAACTGCCGCGCATGCCGAACACAGCCAACGTATTTTTGTAAATCATAAGATCAAAAGATTTATGTCATTTCTTTCTGTATAAAAGTACAAAGTATACAGTGTGAACCTCCACGTATCCACCTATAACACGAACAGATGCTTCAAGAACTTTTAACCACAAATCAATCAATGTTCCTATTTTTATACATTAAAACCGTTACATAAATCTATATTTAAAAAAATTCAAACTTTTGAAAAATTTTATTAAAGTAAAAATTAAGAAAAAATAATACCATAAAAAAAATTTAGATATTTCATATAATTATTTTTTAACATATGAATTTACATTTAAATAAAGTTAATGTAATTATATATATCAAATAATTAAATTCGCATACAAAGATCTGATATGTCTTTTGTATATCAGAAAGCAAACAAATATACGTTAGGTTGATATTAGGCCTATAAATATATTAAGAATGTCAAAAAAGGAATTTATTAAGTAAAATGATTCAAAAAACTAATTCATTTTTATTAAAGTAACGTTTCAATTGTATAAATCAGTAAAAATTTTTGATAATCCGAAATATAATTAAGTTTCGTTGTTCGAGGATAAAACCACGCGAGGCTTAAGTCGTCATGTCAGAAAAAGTGACTTTATTTTAGTTACCCACAAAAATAAACAACGAAATATTGATTTACCTTGTTTCTCTTTTAATCTCTGGGCTCTGATTACCGTTTGTCTCCATTTTTCGTATAATTCAAACACAAAAAGATCCTCTTAACAAGAAATCAAGAACAATGGTTGACGAACTGACGTTAACCTTACAATGAGCTTTGACTAGTCGGGCGATCGATTAAAATTCCTAAAAATAGCCAAATCGCTACAAATAAAAATACTATTATATTTATTATAAAATTAAATTATTATTTATATATAAACAAATTTTAGTATAAATTTGTAAAACATTGAATAAAATATTTAATAATTAATTATTAAGAAATATAACCAGGACCGAGTGGTTAAAGTAACAGCCTACTGCTCAGGGACACAAGATCGAATCGGATGGGTCGAAAATTCCGAGAAATTCCCGAGGGTGGTCCGTTTGGATATGTCGGGCTCTGTCCTTCACTACCCAGTAGCACCATTGTGGGCCTGACCGAACCCATAATGGGCTTGTTAAAAAAAACCCTCTTAGTGCCCAATGGGCGGCAAGATAAAAAAACCCACTGGTCATGATGAAAGCCTAGATCCAATAGGACGGATGGCCGAGCGGTCAAGGTGACAGCCTACCGCTCTGGGGAACCCGGAATCGGGTCTGAACGAGTCGAAAAATCCCCAAGAATTTTTCGGGAGTGGTCCGTACCGGATATATCGTTTCCCGTCCCTCACCACTCGGCCGCCCTATTGTGGGCCTGGACAAACCCATAATTGGCCTGTTAAAAGAGCCTCTTAGTGCTCACAGGGCAGAAAGAGTTGTTTTTTTAAAAAAAAAAAAAAGCCTAGATCTAATATTAAAGAACTGCATAGTTTTACAGTTGAAACTAACGTTAAAATGCTTTAATTACTTTCAAAAAACCTATAAGAGCTATTCTTCCAGTTTTTATTTTTATATTTTTGACGTGAATACGTCTTTAAATTTGCTTTCGTAGTGGGAGGCAATTCAGAAAACTGATGATAACAAAATCGAGGGATACAGTTTGGCATTGCAGATACATATCTATCATCTACATCCAAAATTTAATTACACCACTCGATAGTTAAGGGATGAAAGAATTCATTACGTTGAGTGGGGACTGTGACGAATCGCGCGCGGCGGAGGGGAAAGCGCCGCCATTTTGAGGTCCTGCGTCACATACTCGGAGAAGCTATGATGCTCGTTTGAGTTTCAATTTACAGCTCTCGTCAATAATTATCGATTGCGTACACAAAACATTAGTTTGGAATAGTTATGGTGAATATATATGGTGTTATAGTTAAAAATTAAGAAAACTTAATGTGGTGATTTCTAGTAACCGTGAACAAATCAAAAGGCGAGATAAGATTAACAAGAACATTTATTAACTTGCATCCGATTTGGATCTTACACAAAAGACATCTGCTATCGTGAACAATTGACGAAAAAAAGTATACATTTATCAGACAATAGACAAATATTCAGTTTGTAAACAATTTACCTTTTGTATATACAGCTGACACTCGATTCAGAGCGGTCTTTCAATGACCGGACATAAAAAAATGAACAGATGACGCTTAACTAAAGCGCGGTTTACAAAACGAATATGATTAATCTTAACACTTAATACAATGTCAGCCTATATTCGTCGAAAAGCCAAATCAAAATATAGAAATCGTATACGGTTGGAAAGGGCTTCTCAAGAGCAATCCAGTGATAACCCATAAAACACCATATGATAGAGTAAAGCGGTGCCGGGGACGTTAACGTACACGTATTTACGTAAAACACATGGCCGTGTCACCGACACAGCCTCATTCCTTTTTTTTACCTCTTTTCGCCCTGTAAGCAGTAAGAGAACCTTTTCTTCCCATTCTTGTCGTGGATTCAACTAGACCAGGAGTCGCCAAAGGGATCGATATAACATTATTGAGGGGTCGATTATCAAGCTTAAGGATAAGTATCAAGCTTATCCGTCTCACTGATTGTTAGTTACAAAAATTATTATTAACAAATATACATTAAAAGAAATGTATTAAACTAAGTAGTAAGTACTTTGTTTTGCTTGTAACAAACTTTTTGGTGCGGGTCGACCTCACATCGACCCCCACCAAAAAGTTTAGCGACGATCAAAGGGGTCGACGATCAAAAAAATTTGGCGACCCTTGAACCCACAATGTGCATGGTTTGATGGCGAGGAATGAGCCCGAAATATTAAGGGAGGCCGCCCAGTAAAAATTACTGATGTGACGACCCGAACGAGGGTCGACTGAGGGGTCCGAATGAAAGGTATCGATCAGAAATTTAAAGAGCTCGTTTTCAGACGCGAATGGAAAGTATTAGATATCTCAATCGAACAATGGAAATTTTTGTGTAAATTAGTTAAACAATGGAAAGGAATAAAGTCGAGAAAAGGCGACGAGAGAGGAATCATATTCAGTCGCGACGCTGACCTCTTCCGCACCCTCCATCAGGTTTCGAATTGTCACCAGGTGACAGTGAGAGACCAATGGAGAGGTGACTGGGGGGAAACTCTATAAAACTGCGTTTTCAAAGACATAAAAAGGTTCTTGGTTCTTAGTTCAGAGTACTCCGCTCCTGGATTTTTCTGCAGTTCAACAACGAAAACTTGGGCGACGTTTCGGAAGAGGTTTTCACTATCCCGTACCGGCAAGTTTCGCCAAGTGTACCCTGCCGCAATCCCACGAACGAACTCCCCGTGTTCAAGGTACGAAGACCACTTAGCCACTGGTTGGTTTTTTTTACCGAAAGAGACTTCGAATCGAAGAATCTTCAGATGAAGTGCTACCCGTTATTTTTTTGGAGCGGATTCCCCTTCTAAGTATTAAGGTTCGTATATCTCCACTTTTCTGCCACCAACTACAACAAACGAAGGTATGTACAGTACAGTGCTATTTTATTAAACAACGTTTACATGTTTGTTGTTGTAATGATAGATAATGCGTTTTCCTACATTTTCATCAAAGAAAATTACTGTATATTACAAATAAAATCACAAAAATTTCGGAGACTAGAACGGATTAATTGCATTTGCATTAATTTCTATGGGAAAAATTGCTTCGGTTAACGAACAATTCAGTTAACGAACGGAGTCGCGGAACGGATTAAGTTCGTTAACCGGGGTTCCACTGTATTTATGAATATTGTATGAAAAATGTAATTGCTTTCTTGTTACATTTAAAGTAAGTAGCTATAGCATGAACATTATTTCTGAAATAGGTTTCATTCGCATATGTATAAATTAAAATGATAGTCATATATTTATATTCAAAGCTATTAGTTAGTGTTACTTTTCGCCATCTTCCTGGATCTTTTTGTGAGCCGACTCCATCGGAATTCAGACGGTCGGCTATTTCTTGCCACAATTTCTGTCGATCTTTTACGGTAAAGGAAGCATCTAACTTCCCTGACATTAATTTAGGGTTGTCTTCCATAAAATTAACCTTTCTTCGACATTTTAAAACAAAACTACTGTATTTCACTAGCGCGGAGGCATGGACAAGAAGAGCGTAAAACACAAGTCTCAAACTTATTTCAACCACCGCCCACTTTGAGATTAAAAAAAATCTAGTGCTCCCATATTTTTTAACTTACCTTTTTCATTACCATCTGTTGCAGTTATTGCAAATATAATGTTTAAACATGCATTATTATATGGATAGGATAGATAGGGTGTGACCCATATCCTACTTCTGAGATCAAAGAATGTTTCAATGAGAAAAAATAAAACTCATATTTAATCCCTTCTACTGCCCCCTGAAAGTCTAGCGCCCACAAGGGGGCGTTATCGCCCACTTCGAGAAAGGATGCCATAGTAAGAAAAGCGCACGCTTTTTTTTTATTTTTTTTTGAACGGTAGGCGTTCTGTGATATCCCGAGACCGCTCTGGCGATGTTTCAGGGCTTCCGTTTGGGCGCCGTGTCACGTGACCGGATTTGACGTAGGCGATTCTTACAGAGCTATATCTCGTGGAGGGTCGCGCATAGGGGTATGGTTCCTTTGACTTTTTTGTTCCTAAAGGGGGTTAGCCACCCCCGCATTCGATACTTGAATTGTGCCAATGCCCCGGGGTCCACCTTCGAGCGACGTTAGAAAAACATCTTCGATATTTAGAACTTTCGAACATTCAATTGTTAAAGAACTTTGTGTATAGTGTAAGTTATTTCCTGTTAAATTAAACGGATTTTTGTAAGATACTTGTCATCTGTGTTTCCTCTGCCACACCCAAACACGAACGACCCTAGATCATTCTGACGCGGGATTAACGATGCTCCCCTAAAAGTCAGCAAACTTGCACTGCTGTCCGAGAGGTGGGATTTTGAGTCGGCGAACTTACACGAGTTCAATAACGTTAACAGTACAATAAACAAAGCGGCCGGACGGCCGAGCGGTCAAGGTGGCAGCCTACCCCTCTGGGGGACCCGGGCTCGAATCCGAACGGATCGAAAAATCCCCAGGAATTTTTCGGGGGGTGGTCCGTCCGGATGTGTCGGGCTCCACCCCTCACCACCCGGCAGCCCCATTGAGGGTCTGGCCGAACCCATAATGGGATTGCAAAAAAGAGGTCCTCTTACCCACAGGGCGGAGAGTTAAAAAGTAAAAAGAAGTACGATAAACAAATAAGATTTGTAACTACTACCGAAACTGACAAATCCAGGCGATTGGCGCTGTTAGCCGTAACGGCATAATTTAAAACTAATGTTAACTAGACGCTTTTAGGCTACGGTTACTGTGGATACGAATACGTCCGAAATCCTCGTCAGAACAAGGTGGGTACACTGTGCGCGTTTTCTAATAGTCAGTACGTTTCTGCCTCCCAGCAAAATGGACGAACTTGATGAGTTTTATTTTCTTGAAAGTACTGTACGTTGAGTTATTGTTGATAGGAGGTGAAGTTATTGTTGATAGTCGTCGTCGAACGGTGCACTCTCGGTACGTAATCCTACAATTTTCTGCTTAATTCCCCAAAAATTATACGTGTTTTGGAAATGTTGAGTCTAGAATCGATTAATTTTATGGAAGAAAACCTTTCAAACAACCATAGTCTGTAAAGTGCATACGTGCCGGGCTGTGATTGACTCGTGTATTTAAGGACTCGTAGAACATGAATTTCATAAAACATGGAACGTATCTACCGTGTTATAGAGGAGGT